GGAGGGCACTCACAAAGGGTGGATGCTGGCAGAGACAGTGAAGAAGAATGCTTTAGCTAAAGCCGAGGTTACAGAGAAAGTGAAAGAAGATAAGCAGGCTAAGCTCGAACAGCTCAAGGAGGAAGTGGCGACCTTTGGGGTCAAGGAAAGGGAGTTCCTTGACAAACTTAACACGAGCAAAGCTACTCGGGCCAAGGCTGAAGCTAAGGCACCAAAGGTCGACAAGAGTTTGGCATAACAGCGAGGTGCCAACAACAAGTTGAACTCCGAGCTCTTCTCGACCTAGAAGGTTGCAACAAGCTGGGAGGCCAAGCTTAAATAGTCTTCGCTCGACCTTGGCCAGGAGGTGATAGGTCGGTAGGAGGCCAAAGCTGAGGTCGGGAAACTCAAGCTTCGAATTGAAGAGCTGAACGAGGCCATCACTACTCGGTCTTGGCAAACGTCGATCTTCCTCATGCAGAAGCTATGGAAGGCTCATCCTTCAATTAGTTTTTCTTTCCTTCCACGAGCTTATCAAAAGGAGGTTGAGAGGATAAAGGTCAAAGCCCAAGGGATGGCTTACGTGTACTCGGATGACTTCGAGGATGATAGCGAGGGCTAGGAAGAGGTCGAGGAAGGCGGAGAAAAGGTCAGGCCTAAGCTGGAAGTTAAGGATCTGTTCCCTTGACCACTCTTCCCCCGAGCGAGGCTCCCAACCTTGGGGACACCGCTGCCGTCCCTCTTGTCAAGGATCCGTCTCTTTCCCTTGATAGCAAGCTCCTTGGGATCAGTTGAGGATGAACCCCCTACTCCTCCAACGGCCTAAGAGATTGTCTTTTTTTCCTTTTTATTGCCCATTTGTAATCAAACTCAATTGATATACGAAATTTTTTCATCATTTCCTTTTTGAGCAATGGCTATTATATTTCTATGGAGTCATTTAGTTTGTCCTAGTTGCACTTTAAGATCCAAATTTGCTCTAAGTCATGCGTAGCTCGCTTCTTTAGGAGCTTTTTCAGAATTCTATGAGAAAATCTTTATGTAACATTTAGCTTCGATTTCGGACTTGTCGTCCTTTTTGAGCTTTTGTCGTCGACTTAGGGCCGATTTTCCTCGATGTGTTTTTCCTTAAAAAAATTCAAGTTTAATTTCGTCGATTTAGGATATTTCATCCTCAAATAGCTGGATTTTGGCGTTGCTTTCCTGAGATAAGCTGTCTTTTCGGGGCTCTTGACTCTGAGTTTTCTTTTGGGAAGTCTATCGCTTAGGTCGCGATTTATGGATCAGTAATTAAATGCTGACGAACGAATAGTACCTCTTTTATTGATCAAGTGTTTTGGCCGTAAACAGTCTTACAACGAGTGTAGAACATATAAATAAATGGAGCTGCTTATTGGTAATACCTTCATAAATGCTCGGCGTTCCAAGCCCGCATTATTGCTTCGCGGTTGAGGCGTTCCAGGTGGAAAGATCCTGGTGCGAGCTTTTCAGAGATCCTAAAAGGACCTTCCCATATGGGTCCAAGTGCCCCCAAGTTCTAATTTTTAGCACGCGAGTTGGATCTTCCTCGCTGACACTTATTTCTCGCAGCTCTTCGGTCGGCCCTACTGCATGCCCTTCTCTATGGATGCGAGGATCTGTATTATCCTCGAGTAATTCGGGGTTCGAGTTGGATTCTACGATGACCATTGTCCTCGAGTGCGGCCATTTCTATACGACATTTACAGCTCAGTTATAACATTCTCAAGATTCCTTGGTGTAGCTCTTGATCGTCGTGACTCCCTCAGAAGTCGGAAATCTCATTGCTTGGTAGCGCACTGATGTGACCGCACTCAAATCATCCAAGATTAGCCTCTCGAGTATAATGTTATACGTGGTTAGGCAATCTACCACTAAAAATTCGGCCATCATATTTTGACCTTTGATTCTACCCCCAGGGTTACGGGTAGGTCAATTGTGCCTTTGGGAATTAGGCTATCCCCGGTAAACCCATAGAGCGGCGAAGGGCACGCTCTTAGGTCTCTTTCTATGAACCTCGTTGCTCAGAAAGCTCTCAAGAAAATGATGTTGGTCGCGCTTCCGTTATTGACCATTACCCTTAAGACCCTAGCATTGCCGATTCTGGCCGCGATTACGATTGCTTCATGATTATGGTGAGGGGATGCCTCGCACTTGTCGATGGTGAACCCTACTACCTCGCTTTCTTGTTTGGGCCGCTTTTGCTTGCAGCTTATTATTCAGGGAATCGAGTCTGTTCTGGCTTCTCGAGCATATTGCTCACGAGCATGTCTCGAGCTCCCTGCTATATCAGGTCCTCTGTAGATCATATTCACTAAGACCTCGTTGGGGTTTGGCGGAGCTTGTTGTGTCGAGTTCTGAGCCTGATTACGGCCTGATTACTTTGCTCAACAGGACTTTTGCGAGCTGGTTTCGCCTTAACGAACTCTTTCAGGTGACCTTTTCTTATTAGGTCTTCGATGGTGTCTTTTAGAGCTCGACATTCATTTGTGTTGTACCAGATGTCCCTGTGGTATCGACAATACTTCTGCCAATCTCTTCTGCCAAGAGCCTCCCTCATCTTTTATGGAGGAAGCAATCTCTTTGCTTCTCAGGACACTTCATAGATATAGGCGACATCTTAAGTGAGGCGGGGTATATTCCACATACCGCGAGAAAGGCTGCCTATCCCCGCGATTATCCATTTTTTGTTTCTTCTGGAACCTGTTGCGATCCCTGTCATTGCGGTCTTGGCTTCCACGCTTATCTGAGGGGCGATCTTGTCGCCTGTCCGAGGCCCTTTTGGTCGAGCTTTTGGCCAATGCTACTAACGAGTTTCTACTCGTTGGTATTTTGCAGTCAGGCTTACATGATCTTTGCTCTAGAACCCTTTCCACAGCTCCGTGTTTGGCCTAAACCCTGCAATCAGCAAAGTTCGAATGGATTCCTCGGGGGTATCAACGACCTTTGCTTGCTCATTCTGGAACCTCGTTAGGTACGAGGTCAGTTTTTCATCTTTCTCTTGACGGATGTTGCTCAAGTAGCTGAGTGGTATTGTGAACTGCCTCCTCGCCTGAAATTGTTGTACATACAGTAAGGAGAATTGTTGCCAGGAGTTGATGGAGTTTGCCTTGAGCCTCTTGTACCACCTTTTGGCATCCCCGACTAACGTGACTATGAAGCATCGACATTTCGCTAAGTCACAAACCTGATGTAGCTCCATTAGGTCATTGAAATTGTTGAAGTGGTCTCTAGGGCCCCCTTTTCCATCAAACTTGCTTTTTGGTGCCTTGAATCCTTGCGGAAGTGAGGCCTGGCGAACCTCTTCTATGAAGGGGGAGCTTACTACCTCTTCTGTCAGGTTGTTTTGGAGAGTTTTCAGATCGTCAAGCATTTTTTGCATGCAATCTAAGTCTTCGTTGTGGTTGCCCTAGCTGGCTCTGTTAATCCTTACCTCAAGCAAATGAGTTCGCAAGTCATGATGGCTAGGCTGATAAGTGTTATCATGCTCGTCAGTGCGTTGCTCGCAACATCGGTCATAACCGCAATGTTGGTCATTGCCAGATTGACGCACGTGGCTCGCTTCGCAAGCTTGCGAAGATCAATCTTATCTTGGGTGTGGGTTAACGCCGGAATGCTAACGCTAGGGATACTATGGAGCCTTTCAATGATGCTCATGGCCTTCACTCTCCCTTTGCGGTTGCTTCCCTGGCTGCCTCTTGGGGTTCGTTTGCCTGCGGGACTCGTGCTCGTGAGCGGAGGGCTATCGGCAAGGTTGGGGGTGTTGATCGCCCCTCAGCGCTAACAAAACGGACCATCCACTTGCAGAATTCATACTTGTAGGGGGGCACGTGGCTGGTCGAAGTTCTGAATAACCGGTTGATAGCTCCTCAGTTCAGCCACGTTCTATTGCACCGTCTATGCAACCATTGTTCTGATTATCTCCATCAGATGACTGTTCTTGGGGTTTGACATCTTTGCCCCTTGATTGTTTGCGATGTGCTGGGTTGGCACCACGGGTGGTGGGCGTCCAACGGTCTCCTATTGTACTTCCTGGTGGGTGGTCTCCATGTTTTCGAGGTTTTCGGTGGTGGTTTTTGATCTGGTGTGTACCATTTTGGGCCTGGAATCGGTAGGTTGTTGTGAACGTTTGCCAAAATCGTTGAGACGTTGGCAGAAGGCCCTACTTCTAGCGCCAAAATATTGTTACAGAATTCTGTACCAATCAACGAGATCCGATCGACCTTGCTGTGATCGGAACTGATGTGTGCGTGATTAAAGATAATCAGCGATGGATGTAAAAGATGCAATAAAACTAAAGGTAATGAGAGTTTTTAAAGTGGTTCAGCTAGGTTAACTCTAAAGCCTACTTCCACTATTTTTGTATTTGCTGTGAGAGCTTACAATGTAATTCTTACAGAAAATTTGTAACCTCCTCCTCCCCGTTTAAGGGGGGTTTATAAATAAGATTTATACAAAGGAAAAAGTGAAATTAAGGGGATTACAATATATCTGAACCGCAATTCTGATATTCTCACGATTGGGCGTTATGGTTGCGTATGGTCGATGTTGATCTGGTCATTCTCGCAATATCTAGGATCTGAAGTAATTCAGAGATTGATTGAATGAGCGCTCTGATTGCTCGCGACTAGCTTATGCTGGGTTGAGCTATGGCTCGATGAGCTTCTGCTAGGTTGATCAGTCAACGTTGTCGAGCTGGTTCTGGGTCGAACTATATCTTCGCAATGGCCCGAGCTTGGTGGAAAAATAGCACACAATACCACTAAATCTATTAACTTTGTATTGGAACTAATTTTTAATTGTAAGTGCATTTAGGTATAGATGTTGAGACTTGAAACTAGGCTTTCAATTGTTAGAAACAATTTTAATTTAAATGTTTATGGAGCCTTTGTGACAAAGAGCATAATGGACCCAACACATGCACATAAACGTCGCCGTTTCGTCCAGAAAAAGGATATAAATATTGAACAAATTCCTACTGACCTTCTTTTCTGCCTGCTCGATCAATTAATTAGGGTTAGGGTTTTGCAGCAAAAACTAAAAACCCCAGCTTTGACATTCTTCAACAACAGAAGCTAAAAATAAGTAAATTCCATTAAAAGAATGGGTAAGTGCCCGAACAACAGGAAGGTGAAGAAGAGAAGATACTCTCACAAGACAGCTCGCCTCACCAAATTCCTTCGCAAAGATATCCTTTTTATTTTTCTTTTAATTTAATCATTAATTTATTTCATTCGGATTCTTGGTTGTCATCTCATACAAAGATTTTCAATTCTGTTTTGTTTTCTTGACTGAGAATTTTGGGTTCACGTGACGATGCCGTTTATGACGAGCTTCAAAAGCGAGATTCCGAGAAGAATCCCTTGCCTTTTGACGAGGATTTGCCTGGGATGGGCCAATATTATTGCTTCCACTGCGAGTACGGTTTTTTTTTTTTTTTTTATTTTGATTTGCGTTGTTATTTTCGAAGCTTTGTTTGGTTGCTGGGAAAGCGAAGTAAAGAATTAACTGTAGTTTAATTTCTTTTTTATTGATAACTGAAAATGATGAAACTTACGCTGAACTATAACTAAGTTTAGTAGAACTAGTTTTTTTATTGTAACTATATTATTGTAGTTTTGGGTTGGAATGTTGTGACATAAAACTTTTATCAAAGGTGAGATACACATTTTTAAACATTCATCTTTTTAATTCGATTTGAAGTCATACAGTTACATCCAACATTGTCAACTAAATAACTTTTTAATTGACATTTTTGACATTTATTTTTGTGCTTTCTTTTAACATGGGTTATGGTTTATTTTTTTAATTCTTTTATATATCTTTTTTGCCTAAGACATAAACTTTTTCTTTTTCTTGTTTGCAGTCGATACTTTGCAGACTTGTCAACGAGGGATGAACATTTTAAGACAAAACGTCACAAGAAACGGTTAGCAACTTTATATCGTTCTTTTCTTTCTATTATTGTTCTGAAGTCGCATTTATTCAGTGTTATGTATTAGTTATTCATTGAGTAATTATTTTGAGAAAGATAGGTTATTGCATGTTACTATAAATTTATAGTTTCCTGTAGAACTACTCTGATTCATGCGTTTATCGTACACCTGAGGCACTGAGTCTCATACACTTAGATTTTATAACTTTTTGTTTAGATATTTGTTTATATTACATTTTTCCATGATCAGAACATAACAAATCTATGTGAACCCTATCACACATATTAATCTCAAAGGATTGTGGAAGATTTTCCTTTAATCAAGTGAATACGGGTGCAAAATGGACTTGTAGCTAGTGCAAAGATAAGCTTAGTAGCCTAAATTGTTGCATAGTGTTGGAGTTTAATGAAACTAGAAAATCATTTTTTGGAAAAATAAAGGGTAAGAAATGATTTTTATAGAATGAATTGTTTTATACTTGGAAGTTGAATGGAAATAGGAAACACGAAAGAATATCAGTGGATTGTTTTAAACTTGGAAGTTGAATGGAAATAGGAAACACGAAAGAATATCAGTGGATTGTTTTAAACTTGAAAGTTGAATGGAAATAGGAACACAGAATAATATCAGTCCTTACACAATGAGGTTAATAAATTTTCCTTTGAAGGTTGAAGTATAAATATCTGATTTTCTTTTCCCAAACGTAAGTGCTATTCCTCTTTAACCCTTAGATTGCTTGTTCATGTTCTTTTTCCTGGGAATAAGAGATTGAGTGAGGAAAAGAACTTGAGTCGAAAGAGGATTCTTCATTGAGGAGATTGTGTTTGGGTTGTATGTTCTTCTTTCAATAAGTTTATTTATGTTACTATTGATCCTTGCAATATTTTTTTAGACTTAAATGATTCATTATTGCTGATGTTTAAAACATGGGTGTACAATCAAGGATTATTGTTTAGAACAAAATTTGTGCACAGGATATGTAATAGTGTGTTGCTCTATTTAAGGGTATTACTTTTGTACTTAAATCTTCTCAGGAAAATTAATAAACCTCTTTGCATTAGGAATGATATTATTCCTCGTTTCGTTTCCATTGAAGTATCAAGTTTAGTACAAATCCTTATGAAAAATCGATTTTATTGCCTTTCTTTCTCTCATAAATAGTATCCAATTTTATTAAAACTCTTCCATTGTCTAGAAGCATTGTACGTTATTTGTCTCTAACTTGGCGAGCATTACAATATTACATTACTTAGCAGAAAATTGGCTTTTAGTCAACTGAGATATCCTTTAATCCCCAAGATATCATATTAGTAAACTTTCTGTGACATAAGCATTTCGTGTACCAAACTCCTGAGCAATTAAGCATGGAAAGAAATTTGAGGATCCTGTTGTAATTCTAAGACTTTAAGGGTCATCATTGTACTAATATGTCTGATTAAGAGTGCGTGTTTTTGCTTGTGAATGTTGTAATGTTCCTCAAACGTGTTGTATACCTATTCTTGTATTACTTCGACAATTTATGACTGAATTCTTAAGAGATATTTATACTCATGTATTTTGAGGAGAAGTAAATTGTCTGCACATCTCATTGGAGGAAGTCTGGAGTGAAACCACAAATATGGGTTTCAGCCCCCCACCTTCAAATACTAACGGATGAAACTATTGCTTGCACTTTAAATGTCTTCAAATAATCAAGGAGGATTTATCATTAGACATTAATCTTATATGCAGTTTAAAAGAAATGATGGGGACTAAACCACATACTCAACTTGATGCTGACTTAGCTGCTGGGATGGGCATGCCAGATAATGGTCCAAAGCTTATGTCTATGTGAGCTTTTTTTTTTTTTTTTATGATTCCTTTATGTATGGTAAGATTATGAGTGAGTTAAGTTGGTCCTGATATTGAAAGATATACTCTTTCTTTTTGTAAAAATTTTGTTTTAGCATGACAGTTGTTTTTTTGTACCGGGACAGTTGCTGGTATTGCTGATAAAGAATAGATTAATTTTACTGTATACTAATTCTCAATTGCAGTGTTTGTGATGTGATTTCTTAAGATTAATTAAAATATTGAGTGCTCACACTTGAATTCAATTCTTTTAATCCTCTACTAAGTTGTAACTCTGTGCTTATCATTCTGTTTTTGAATTAATTCTGCTTTGTTGTCAATTTGCATCTTTTTTTCTGGCAAATGATTCCCTTCTTGGATTATGTTTTGTTCTTGCTTGCTTCTTTTATGATATTCTCTTTGAGCACGGTGCTCATTATATGCAGTTTTCAAATCAGGCAACTGATATAAGAACAATAACATTTCATGTTGGATATTCACTTGTCAGTTTGTGAAGATTTAAGTGTTTGCAACTGATTATATTATTTCTGGAGAAAAGGAAACCCAATGTTTATCCATTTTAATATTTGTGGTCCAGTTGAAACTGGAAGTGTACTTGGAGATGTATATTATGGTGGTCTGTTCTTATCATTATTTAGAGAGCCTTCCACAGATTTTCAAATGGTTCCAAATCTGCTATGCTAAGCAGCTAATGGTCTTTGGGTTGTCTTTGGCGTTTGTAATATGGAGCATTTTGTTCAACTCAGAAAGTCATAATTTGATCTGCTAATACCCAGGTCAGTTGGCTTTGATAAAGCCCAACTATTTCATGGGATTAAAACTCAAGGTTGTCTGCGAGGATCCAGCCTTGGTTATTGGCTGGGTTCATCAAGACTGGGAGTCTGACCCTAGGTGTGCTTTGAGACATGCCTTTAAGATATCAACAATACTTAAGAACTAAGTGCATAAATTCTTTCTTTTCCCTTTGGCAAACTGAAAAATTTTTATATCGTTATGTAGTTCAATGATGCTAGGAAGGTGGCCTGAAAGCAGAAGGATGTCTCATAATGTAGAAGACACGGCATTTGGTGTAGAATATGCCCCATAAGGTGTTATTCACCCCATGTTGAATTTACACGATTTGTTGTTAGTCAAATGTTGAGTGAATTTGGATACAAAAGAAGGTGGTTTTTGGGCTATTACCAGTTTTGGCTCGACATTTTTGGACACTTGTCTTTTTTAATAAGTCGGACATCACACCAGAGGTTGAAAGAAAGTTAATAAATTCTGTCTCTTTCGCATGGGAAGAAAGTCTCGTCTTCTTTTATCAAATTAAATTTTATAAACATTTAACTTTTTGGGAGATGAGAAAAACTACAGGGCTTTTCTCTCGGATTTGTATCAGGCATTTGGCGTTGTCAGTAGGCACAACTTTTCTATTTCATTTGCCTTTCGTTTTACAAAGAACAAAAGGCTGAAAATGCCAGCTGCGTTTGATTTTACTTTTCTAAAAACTAAACTTTTATTGATGGCCTGAAAACTTCATCAAACCAATTTGATGGTCCCTTGGATTTCGAAACCCTTAACGTATTTTTTTCAGATATTCCTGTCACTATTATTGTATTTTAGTCCTTACCCTTGTAAATCCAGACAAGGAGCAAGAGTTAGTATGTTATTATTAGCTTTGCGCAGAGTGTCATCTTCCAATACCCCTCCAAAAGAAAAACTCTAAAGCACTTGAGAACAAGACGCGGCGTTCACAAAATGCCTAAACCCGATCTCTTCTTTCGCAACTCAAATCCTTAGAAATCCTTGTCAATCAAAAAGACCATTAGGCCCTTTGGCCTTTATTAAACACCATCATCATCCTGTCATTTTCAAGCCAGTTTCCTTCTCTTTTTCCTCATGCTTGTCCTGCATTATTTCCCACTTCCTCTTTTTAAGTTTCTTGTCCTGTTTCTTCCTCTCTCTGTGTTTTCTTTGTTATCTATCTTTTTAAGAGGTATGCACATGTGCGACCACCATGTGACATTGATTTCAATAATTTTGTTCCCCACAGGCGGTATCATAAATATATACATATACCCAGTTGAGATCATGATCAAATAATTTCAAATATTTCCATCTCTTAAAGTTTGGATTGTGATGTTTATTTGCTCAACATGTTATTCGTTTGAGGTCTACATCGACACCGCCATTAGGTCCATTTACTATGTTGTGATTGATCAGTGTCGGGAAAGTGATGGAATTCTAACTCCTTTCTTTTATGTTTAAATTAGAGACTTATTTGTCATTATAACCACTATCTTTAGGATAACTTTCATTGTTTGCTAGACAATCAAAAAGTTTGGTCACTTGGAGTAGTACTAGTCAAACTTTACAGCATACATAGGTAATACTTTGACACCTTTCTTTCTCAATTATTGTAACAAAGCCATTCCTTAGTGATGCAAGCCACCCCCTTGGAATTTACGTCCACGGCAGCTCGAGATATACCAAGCTGGTAAGACTTTTAACAATCCCATAAAGTTTTTTTACAAGGTTTACCCCACCAATTGTAAGAACCACGAAAGGGTAGATTTCATCCTTAAAATCTACTTGTAGGGAAAGAATGCCCAAGTGGTTATCAACCCGCATGCCAAACATTTTCTTAGTGAATGTGGACTCAACTAGGATCGTTATAATTATTTCAGCAATGCGTATCCATGTTATGCCTGTTGAAAGCAAAGGCAACAACGAAAATGCACTAGGGCTGCCTCTGCGAATTCATTTTGATGGATATGTTATTGTTAATTTGTTATGACCTCTTGGGATGTGAAGGAAGTATGGTCATTATCATTTCCTTAGAAATATTCATAAAGACAATATATAAAATTTAGGTAATACACATACTATACTATAACAAAACATTAAACTGAAAATCAAAACCCAAAAAATCATTAAGGGGGGTATAAGGGAAATAATCTTTTTTCACTTGGTATTATCATAAACTTAGTAAGCTTCTCTATCCTCGTCGTCTTTGGGTCTTGCTGAGGAACTTGAACCTGATGTCATTCCAATAACTTGGCTATGTGTGAACCTCTGTAACTGTATCATGCGGGCGTAACACCCATCAGGATAATTTTTTAACAAATGTGAATGGGAACCTTGTTCTGCAACTTTCCCATCATCAATTACTGCAATGACATGGGCATTCCTGATGGTTGATAATCGATGAGCAACAACAATTGTAGTCTTTCCTGCACATGCGCGGTCTAGAGCCTCTTGAACTGATCGCTCAGACTCAGCATCGAGTGCACTTGTTGCTTCATCTAGCAGCATAAGCTCTGCCTTCCTAAGGAGAGCCCTAGCTATTGCAATTCTTTGTTTCTGCCCCCCAGAAAGTTGAGCTCCTCTCTCCCCGACGAATGTTTTGTAGCCATCAGGCAATCCAGATATGAACTTGTGAGCATTGGCAGCTGTAGCTGCTTCAATGATCTCAGACTCACTTGCTGACTGATGTCCATAAGCAATGTTCTCATAAATGGAAGTAGCAAAGAGGCATGGTTCCTGAGGAACAATTGCCATGTGCCTTCGCAGAGACTTAAGATTGTATTTTCTAATGTCCTTCCCATCAACCACAACCCGTCCAGATGAGGGTTCATAGAATCGCTGTATAAGTGCAATGACTGAACTCTTACCACATCCACTAGGACCTACAAGAGCAAGAGTTTTGCCTGCTCGAGCACGAAGAGAAAGATCACGGAAGATTGGAACATCAGGGCGAGAGGGGTAAGAAAAGTCCACATGCTTTAATTCAACTTCCCCACGAAGACGGTCAGGAGCTGGAGTAGCATCTGGATCATCAGGCTCAATTTCTGTTTTGCGGTCAAGAAGTTCAAAGACTGACCGCATTGCTCGCCCACCTTTGATGAAGTCAGGAGCCAGGGTTAGCGTTTCAGCAGCACCATTGGCGGAGACCATGAGGACCATGAAAACTCGGATTGTCTTTGAGAAATCAGAGATCCCATGCTTCACAAGCCACGAAGCATACCAGAGGCCAAGAGCATAGGAAGCATAAAGAGAAAATTGAGCAACCCCGAATCCACTTCCAGCAATCTGTCCTTTCCAAAAGCAGCGACGTAATGGAATTTCAAGGTTGGAGCAGAACAGGCCAACAATCTTTGACTCTGAATTGAAGGCAGCAACAGTCCTTACATTGGCAATGGCTTCTGCTGCAAGTTGTGTCGACTTGGCATGAGCAGCTTCCAAGTCTCCTGAGAATCCTTGCATGAACATTTTCTGTTGAAAATCCAACAAAGACTTGTTTAGAATAATGTTCAGAACTTTTATTCTAAATAGTGAAAAATAATGGTTCTTGGATTATCAATACAATCATCAATCCCAATTTATCATTTCTAATATAAATCGTCAGCAGACCGAACTTGTAACCATAGATGTATGAGGAATTAGATATGTAAATACAAACCTGCAAAACAGTTGCTGCAACAACAACAGGGAAGACAGCTATGAGAACGAGGGCAAGGCGCCATTGCAAAACAAAACCTGCAGTGCATGCAACTAGCATGAGTGCTGTGTTCTGCACAATCACTGAAATCCTGTCTCCAATGGCTGATCTGACATTGTTGGCATCGAGAGCCAGCCTTGCTGCAATCCTAGCACTCTCATTTTCCTCTTGATCAAACCATGCCATTTCATTTTTCAGCACCGCTGTTAGCATTTTTTCCCTCACACGTTTTGTAAGGTTTTCTCCCACGATGTCCCAAAAGGAATGCTGAAGTGTGTTGAAGACAAGTGCAGCTGATGAAAGGCCAATTAACAAGTAGCAATACTTTGCAATTTGTCTGCTCATGTATGCATGGTCTGGATTGTAGTAGACGCTGAGGACAGCGCTTAAAACATATGCAAAGAAGGCACTTAGGGAGCCACAGATAACAGAGCCTATAGAACCGACTAAAGCATAAACCCATTCAGGAGAATTCATTTTTGCAAGGCGCCAAAATGAACTGGCTTGCTCCTTGAAGGCTAGTTTTTCAAGCCGGTAATTGGGATGTGTGGCATCAAGGGATAGACTAAAATCAGAAGTAGAGAAGTCAGATAGCCTGCGTGAGTATGGTGATCGACCATAGGAGGAGTTTCGGGCAATTATTGGTGAGCTAACTGAGTTCCTGGCACTTGAAGGCCTGTAAATGTAGAACCGTGTTAGAAAACAAGTTTTCAGCTCAATACTTCCCATCAAACCAGACACAATTTAAATGGCATAAAACAAAAATATGTTGTTCCAAGAATTTAATAAAAAGGTGTACAGTTGGTAATATTAACCTTGCACTACTCTTTCTGGCATTGTTGAGAGCGGTTTCATGTGCCATCTCCTGCATTCTGATGAGCTTGGCATAGACACCATTTTCTCCCTTGGAAATCAATTCATCATGTGTTCCAATTTCGGTGACAGTCCCTTGCTGCAGCACAGTTACAAGGTCAGCCTTGCGAATGGTGGAAAGGCGATGAGCAATGACAAGCGTTGTCCTTCCAATCATGAACCGGTCAAGAGCCTCCTGCACTAGTTTTTCTGACTCCGAGTCCAGTGCACTTGTTGCCTCATCCAGTAGCAGGATTGCTGGATTTTTCAGCATTGCCCTAGCTATAGCTATTCTCTGCTTCTGCCCTCCCGAAAGCTGCACTCCTCTCTCCCCTACCTGCCATTTTCAAATTACATTTACCCTTTAGCCTCATAGTTCCTCCACAAAATTCACAGTCATCCATTTGATTTCCCAGGAAAATAGATCAAAACTTTGAAGTTAATAGCATATTAAGTTAATAATATGGGATTTTGTTATGTGGCTGTAAAAAATTCTTCTTCTTGTTACTGTTCTTCTACTCTTTTTTTTCCCTTTTTTTTTTTTTTTTTTTTGGAAACTAATTAATGGTCAGATGATGTTTCTTATCCATGGCATAGTTTAGACCACGAGGGTCGGTGGCTGTCTCTCTCAAATGGTACTCCTAACCCCATAACAAATTAAAATATCTGATTCCTGTAACTTGAAGTCTTGAATGAATATAATTTTTAAACTAATTATTCTTCTAAAATGTCTTCTAAATTGTCATCATCTTTTCTTATTACAATTGGGTCAAACTTTCTTGTCATTTTTATAAACTTATAATTGAACTTGTCCATTCTCACTACCCCAGCATATTCTTCCCATCAAATATTTTAATCCCATAAGACCCTTAACAGTTAGTGAACTGCATTTTCTATTATCTTCAACCTTCTCTCTCTACTGGTGTACCCAACGTTTTCTAGGTATTTTTTGGTCTTATGCCTGCACATGCACTGTTGACTGAACCATGTTACCTTCCTACACATACATGCATGATGGACTCACATTGACTTTATTTTAAAAACTAATTAAATATGTTAGGTTACGTTTGTTGACCAAATTATCAATTCAATCTTTCCTATTATAAAATTATTAATAATATGATATTGAATATCTAACCAAACTTGATCCTTTTGTTCAAGATCCATGATTAATTTCACCTTCCAAAATCAACAAAACTTTACCCCACTCCCCCACCTCTCCCAACTGCCATAAAGACAATAACCCATTTGATAGTACTGTTTTGTGCCTAATTAGGACGGTATTTATTATATCAAACAAGAAGCCTGAACCATTAATTTATCTCATTTTGTGATGTGATATGCAACAATTTTATGATTTATGTTAACTATTAGCTAACCTGAGTGTCAAATCCTTCTGGTAACTTGATGATAAATGAATGGGCATTAGCAACTCTGGCAGCCTCTTCGATCTCGCCGAGGTCAGCATCAGGCCTACCCAATAGTATGTTCTCTTTAATGGTGGTAGCGAAAAGAGCAGGCTCTTGGCTCACGAGGCCTATTTGCTGCCTCAACCATCTCAACTTCAATGACTTTATGTCATGTCCATCTAGCAGCACTTGCCCTGCACAATTTCATTCATGGACTATAACGAATTAAAACCACTAATAACTTCAGCTAACAGAAACATCCAAACAAAATTTATTTCAGATGTACAGATTTTGCTTATTTTGAACAAATGGATAGAAGTTTTTGCACATAATTTACCTGAGCTGGGATCATAGAATCTCTCAATTAACGAAACCACTGTGCTTTTACCAGAGCCACTGCTGCCAACTAAAGCAATGGTCTTTCCAGCTGGTACATTAAGGCAAAAATTGTTGAGGATCCGAACATCAGGCCTTGAAGGGTATGAGAAATCGACATTTTTCAGCTCCACAAGTCCTGTTACTGAGTCCAATTCCAAACCCGATTCCGCATTTTTATCGATACCAGGCTTATGGTCGATTATACGGTAAATTTTTGCAGCTGCTACTTTTGCCTTTGCAAATGCAGACATGCTAGGGGCTGATTGTCCCAAAGCCCTGCAAATCAAAGGAACTTATGGGCAACCAAATCTTAAGTGAAGAAACGAAATATATGTTTGAACACAGAGATTAACAGAGTACAACTTACAATCCACCAATCATTACTGCAAACATAGTGGCTATTGCAAGTCCACCATTGGTGAAGTGATGCCTGACAAGGTAACCACCATACCACAAAAGAAGCGCATAACAACAAAACACAACAAAGTAAGTTGCGCCGAGTCCCATCCCCTTTGCAAATCCACTCTTGTAACCCAGCCTTTGAGCAATCTTCAATGCGGATGAGTAGGCTTGTAACGCTCTAGATTCACCAACAAATGCGTAAACCACGCGAATTTGAACCACTGTCTGCAATTTTGTTCAAAATCAGCCACACCCAGATGCAAAAACACAGAAAATTTGCCAGAAATCAAAATATGAAACTCAGAGAAAACTCAAAAGGCTTTGAAATTTGTATTTTGGTACCTGTTCGACGATGTTTCCGGCTTGTGATAAGGCTTCTTGGCTCTTGCCAGAGAGCTTCGCTAAAGTGGTGGTGTGGATAGCTCCAATGACAGCTATGAGAGGAACCACTGCGAGTGTAACCAAAGCTAATTGCCAAACAGCAGTGAAACCCACCACAAATCCAGATACGAATGTTGCCATATAGTGAATGAAATTACCCAGCTGCAAAAGAAAAAAGTTCATCATTTGGCCTAATTAGAAAACAGAGCATCCCAGAAAAGAAAATATGAGACATAGTTGAAGAGGATTGAGATTTCTGTTTCACCTTCTCGCTGATGGCATCTTGGACCATCACAGCATCAGTGTTAATGGCAAATACGACGTCGCTGGTGCGCACCTCGGTGTCAAAAAACTGAATGTCTTGATTCAAAGCTGCTTCCAGGTACTTTATCCTCATCCTGGTTGTTTGTCTCTCTCCAGTCCACATCCAACATGATATTTCTGCAACCAAAATTCAAGTTTTGTCTTGTAAATTAGATGAACAAAGCCAAACATAAAAACCAATTAGTATTCTGAAACAGAGTTTTAACGGACCTGCCCATGAAGATGCCCAGATTGCAGCACCAACCACAAGAAAGTAAAATGCGTACTGCAGAAAACACAAACATTGACAAAACAAAGAACTTTTAGTATAAAACTTCATTGTTATTCATAATGTAATATCAAGAATTTGATTATAATTTGTAAATTATGAAACTACCTTCAAAACTTCTTGCACCATCTTATCCATGTCATTGGCATTAGAACCAAATGAGTTAACAAGATCGGCAAAGAACCGGAGAAAGAGAGGCAAAGAACAGCCATGTACAAAAGCACCAAGTGACCCAATTCCCATCAAAACATAATCTAAACCATCAGCAAATCTAAAGAGTTCACCAAACCCAACTCCTGATACATCACTCGGCTTCTCTCCAGTCCCACCACCATCTTTCTTTGGCTCAGAAGAAGAGCTCTCCATTTCTCTTTCTCTGTCTCCAACAACACTTTCTTGATAAGAAGTTGATGCTCCCACTTCTTGTTGTTCTTCTCCTTGTAGTTGTTCTTGTGTTTCTGTTGAGTTTGTATCTCTTGTTGGTGTTATTGTGTTTGAAGGAGGCGTTGATGGGTTGGTTTTAAAAGGGTCTAAAGGAGGAGAGGAAACAAGTTCAAGGCCTTGCATTTCGGACCATCTCCACCGCTCAATCGTCTTTATCTCCTGAGAATCTTGTGACATTTGCAAAATTCCTAGCCAACTTTATGAACAAACCCCCCCTTCTCTCTCTCTTTATTATCTCACTCTATCTGCCTTTTGAGCTCATGTTATGTTTTTTCTTGCCAACTTTTCTTTCTTTTTTCTCTCTTTACCCTTTTCTTTAATCCCTTTTGTTATGTTTTAATTTTTACTCCCCTAACCTTAAAACTTAAATATTAAATTAAATGTCATCTCTGTTCTTGTTCAATTCGGTGGTTGTTGAACATTGATATATTATCTCTAAGCGAGAGAGAGAAACAAACCAATCAACTGTTCGCTGTTATTGAAATTTCTTAAGTTTTTCTTCATCTGTAAAAGACATAGAAAATGACAGAGATATGATAATATGCGAGAAAGAAAGAGATGATTTTTTTTTCCACCCGACAAACAACACTGTGTGAAAACTTAAGTCGAGATTTTGACCAAAACAGATTCAATATTCATAACTCCAAACCCATAAAGATTTTTTTTTTTTTTTTCATTAACGTATGGGTAAAAGCAATTGATTTTCTGTTTTTTCTTTTTTTAATTTCTTGTTTCAGGTTTGGCTTCTTCTCCAAGTTAGATTGTAGTGAAAGCTTCGTGGGAAATTATACTTCATGTTCAAACTTCAATTTCTCTGCCACTCTGACTCTCTCTTTCTCTCTCCTTCAAATCCGGCGTCCTTTCTTCCACACAATAAAAAAAGGTGTTAAATATTTTCACCCCTAGCCAAACAGCCCCTATCCCTAAACTATATCTTTCTAGGTTTTCTAGTCAAAAGACTGTAAAACATAACCACTACAGTTTACACTGTAAATAAAGTATAATGTTATCTTGTTTCATTATTGACTTTAAAATGCAAAATGTACTCTAGCTGTTTTGGTCAAAAACTGCAGCTAAAAAACATAAACACAAGTGTTTTGTCATTGAGCGGTTAGGCTTCCAACATTCTAGTTAAAGTAAATCTTAAAAGTTGATATTCACTTATGTCAGAAAAAACAGCTAATTTGAAGTATACCCACATAAATACACATGTTAAATATTACATATATACCTCAAATTCTTGAAATAAATAAAGAAAATACAAGTGGGATCCCAGGAAAATTTGTCAGAAAATCAGAGAAATCTGGGGATTCCGTCTAAGTTTTGATTCTTTATAGAAAAGTGACAGCAAATTTTGCAATTAAATTAAAAAAAAAAAAAAAAAAAAACTGAATGCAGCCATCTTTCACTTGTCTAAAATTAGTGGTTTTGATAATTCAAGATCAGAATAGTACACTGTCAAGTTCATGTAATTTTTAAAAGACAGTGAAACTACTTTAATCACGCCTTTGGATTTAATAACTCCAGTGATTCAGCTTCTTTTTTTTGGCTTAAAATACAATAAAGTCGACTGAATTCTGACACTGCAAATTCCCTGAACTTTCAAATATTTTCTTTAGGTTTTTAGCAAAAAATAAATTAAAAAAGAGAAAGTGGGTAGATATCTTTCTCTCTTTTCACGCTTAAACGTTCTCTCTCTCTCTCTTTGCAAGGATTCAGACTTGCCTTGCCTGCATCCACGGGCATTTGTCTACTTCTCATTGTACCAACTCTTTTTTTTTTTTTTTTCTTATAAATACATCATTTATTTTGCTCTTCTTCACACTCTCCCACATGTGATTAGTTACACTTATACTTAATCTAATTTACTTATCATGTAATTTGTAAATTTTAATGTTCTTGTCGCATCGGATTCAATTTATGCAGCTTAAATCTTCCTAATTACGTAAAAGCATTAAAATACGAGTTGGATGAAAGATATTTACATAATAAAAACTCATTTCTACTTGGTTGGATGTTCGAATATCACATCATGAAATATTTTTACTTGACTGGATGGACACCTCAAGGAAAGGGACGAATGAAAGACGCAACTAAACTATAAATTTAGAGTGTAAGATAGAAAGGCAAAAAATCAATCAGAAAATGTTAAAGTGTAAAAGAAAAATCGAAAGATGAAAAATACATCAGATGACGAAATGTTAACATCCTATATTGAAGATCAAGAGGGCTTATTTATTAGGTTAAGACTTAAGAGGCATATCAACGGTCAACCATCAATAGAAGAGACTGCTCAGTACTAAGAGAGAAAGGTTCAGACTTCACCTACTCCTTTGACAAAACAAGCAAAAATATATACATGGGTCTGTACGATCATGGAAATGGGTAAATATTTCTGCAGAAAGTCTTATTTCGGTGCTTACAGTTGATGTCACACTCATTTCATTTTTTATTTTTTACCCTAATACAGTAAAATACTCCACTAGTATTTTCAGTATTCATTGTCCACTAAATCATTTGCAAAACCATCAAATTATAAAAAGAATAATACAAATTCTTATATATGATAAAAAATGAACAAAAAAGTTACCTCACTTTTATGACAATATGATTGATGATGGTTAGATAAAAGATGAGAATTAATTAAATTTGCATCTGTATCTGTCACTTCAATTGAAATACGTGGAGTTTAATTAATTAATTAGTTTTCTAATTATATATTCTTCATAATTTAATTAAGTTGGTTGAGTTCTTATCTCCTGAATTATGAAAATAAAATTTTAAACGTGTAACATATAAATTGCATGAGGTGTCGTTATCTCCTGAATTATCATAATAAAATTTTAAATGTGTTGGGCATCAAATATATGTAGAGGTAGAGTTAAGATACAGACAGATAGATGCCATAGTATTTTTTTTTTTATTATTATTATTATTTTGGGTTTCTAATAATTATAAATAACTTTTATGACAATTTATAGAATTTTGCATGTATTTTGTATAAACCAGATGAATAAAATTTTATTTGAATAGTAAATATTTTTTCCTTAAAGATAGGATGCAATTTCTTTTTATTATTGTCAAAAAAAAAAATTTTCTTTAGCATCGGAGATGTTTGGATCAGTTTGCACACACCTCAACAAATCTCCTGAGATCTTAGAATTATTAACCGGATAAGAGTTTTAATGAATACCCCTATTAGTAGCTGAAGTGAATCGAACTCAAAAATTTTTAAGTAATGCATCTAAGAGTCCTAGTTGATCACTCGGTCATTCAGTGGTGGTTTATTATTGACAATCGACAAAGCAACCTTATATTTTAATAAAATTAGAACTGGGATAAACCCAAAAAATATACAATCAATCACAACAAACATATACAAATTAAGCCTATGCATTTAGAAAATCTAAATTAATAAGTTATGAAAAGGTCATTTTATCATAAAATAAGCCAAAAAGATTTAATTTCCAATTTAGAAGAAGACAATGAGAAAGAAAAAGATTGATGAGGCTAAACATTTTATAATGTAGTCTGGTCATAGTTCAGTAAAATATGGTATAATTATAGTGCAGAATATTTGGTGTGAAATTAATAAGTTTGAGTAGCTTATATAAATAAAACAAGTGTTAAGAGGCAGAATAAGGATTAAGGAGTACCACTACAATACCACTAATACCATGATGTATAATGATGAACCACATCAACCCATTTCCATTTCCTCTTAATTAATTAAAATACTACTCTGCTTGTCCATCTCTAATTCTAATTAAGTTTGACCCCACTTCTTGAATTCAATATTAATTCCATAGAACTAGGATCAGAGTAGGACAATACCTCAAAAGATATTATGGTCAATTTTTAATTTAAAATGGGAATGGTTCATCTCTTTAAGTTAATGTTAATCAAATAAGATACATTTAACCTCAAGAAGTTGATTGGGTGGTAATAAATATTTGTTCCTTTTATTTACTTCCTAAGTTCAAACTATCTTGGAGTCACCTATCACATTTATGGTTTACCTGATTCATTGGACTTATAAGGTATTCAATGAGCCTCGAAATTAATTGAGATGCATGTAAATTGGTCCGAACATTCTGGTTACCAAAAAAATAAAAAATAATATACATTTATAATAGAGACATAAATATTTCATTATTGATTTACAATTACAATACCCATATATAAGATTGATAGGATTAGAATCACATTAAACCAAATAAGTGGTTAAGGGTTGGTGTAACATTGTTTAAACTCGATCCCTTAAATTAAGTTTCATAAATTGGTGGTGTAATCTATTGGGAGGGAAAGAGAGAGAAGTGACTTTCAAGAAGTCAAAAAAGAAAACCCAATTGCAAACACTCTCTCTCTCTCTATCTTTCTCATTGATAGGATGTGTTATTATTAGTATTGTTATAATAATGGATCATGGTGGTCCATTTCATTAGTCTATTCTTGTTCCAATGGGCAAAGAGAGAAAGAAAGAGAGAGTTATTAAATATTATTTATGTAAAATTGAATGACCAAAAAACCACTCAAATACTTGATCAAAAAGTGGTGCATGTGAGACTCATTATACCATTTCATTGTCTTTCTTGTGGTTAAGTGTGCACTATTTTATAGTGTGTGTGTGTGTAATCTTCTTAATTCATTTTTATTATATGATATTATTTAATCTTAATTTTTAAGCTATAATGATTCCATGGCCTAGCTGTGGAACCAAATTCATCTACAAGATGCATGTGTTGACATTTTATTGCTTACCCAAGTGTCAAAAAGTGCTTTTCCTTTCTATTTTAATATAATTTTTTTCTTAATTAATATCTTCATTAATATATATTTTTGGCCCCATCAAATATTTGTCAAGCAAGTTGGTATTCATGAAGATTTCTTCATTGTCTTATTGGTATTGGATTATTATTATTATTTAAAATATATATATATAAATAATAATAATAATCCAATATATATATATAATTTGTTTGTAGAATAAGCCGAGTTATCATCATGGTTTTTCACCTACTTAAAGAAAAGGTACTCCTCGATCATAATGGTTATTTTGTTTTTTTAATTTAAAAGAACTTCTTTATTGTAAATTTGAAGCTCAACTTTGATTTTGTTCATAATTCTCAAGTGTGTAGAAAGCAATTCACCTATTTCTAAGTATATATACTATATAGTATAATAAAATGAGTTAGTCACAAACATTCTAGTAAAGTTTCTCCTTCTCTCGAGCAACTAAATTAAAGATTGGTTTGTTTGATTTGAGATATGGTAGGGCAATTGTTAGACATGTGGTGGAAAAGGTGAACAATTGATTTAATATTTTTCATAATAATAAGATCAAAATAAATGTAATGGGGGCCATGAAAAAGTGTGAAATGAAATATAAGGCTAGCTAAATGTGAAGGGTCCGTCTAAATCTTCCTTAGACTCAATTTCAAGGTATGACTTTATTATTATTATTAATTTAATAAAA